AACAGCCTCCTTGGAACTACAGACCATTATACTAAGGGAGGTATCTGAGAAACAGAAAAACACCACAGGCACTCTAATAATTGGAAACAAAAATGATAGGTACACCAGGGCACTAGAAACCAAGAGAGGGAAGGAGGGGTAAAAAAACCCTACCTATCAGGTACAATGAACACTATTCTGGTGATGGGCACATGAAAAGCCCCAACTTAAGTGTTATACAAGGTATCCATGAAACAAAAACATTTGTACCCCCTTAATATTTTGAAACCAGTAATAAATTCACATTACATAATTTGTTCAGATTATACTCAAGGAAATTATACTAAATGGCCTAAAAGAGTTTAAGTGTTTAGTATGAGGTGAACATTCAAGAAGAGAGTTCCAGTTTGACTTGGTGTTAAAACTGGGAAAGGTAGCTCAGTGCCTGTTGCTCAAGTGGCTAAGGCACCAGCCACAAATACCTAAGGTGGTGGGTTTGAATCCAGCCCGGGCCTGCCAAACAATGATGTTTGCAGCCAAACAACGATGGCTGCGACCAAAAAAAAAAAAGCCAGGCGTTGTGGCAGGCGCCTGTGGTCCCAGCTACTTGGGAGGCAGAGGCAGGAGACGCGATTGAGCCCAGGAGTTGGAAGTTGCTGTGAGTTGGAAGTTGCTGTGAGCTGTGACACCACAGCACTCTACCCAGGGGGACAGCTTGAGGCTCTGTCTACAAAAAAAAAAAAAAAAAAGGGAAAGGTGAGCCCATTTTTGCCTAAAGTGAATTCTCTTCCTTTATACCGTGTACAAACTCAATTCTAGATGGATTACACATCTAAATATGGAAGGTAAAATAACCTCTTGGGGACTAGGAAGCATCTTCCAGTCTTTGGATAAGAGCAAATAGAGGGAATTGTGTTCCTTCTACTTCCTGGAAGATGGTGTGAAAAAGGTAGGAATAATTTCTTCCTCGAATTATGGAACACTTTTAGTGAAACCATCTGGGCTTAGATGAGTAATCCCTAATTCAAGTTATATAACTGTTACAGGACTGTTTTAGGTTTTCCATTTCTTCTTGCATTAGTTTTGGAAAGGCGTTTTTCTAGAAATTTTTCCTGTAATATCATTACCTTTTTAATGTCTTTAAGGATCTTCAGTAACCCTCTTTGGACATTTCAGCCTCTCAACTCCCTTAACATCTTCAGTATCCTTATGTTTAATATGTGTTATAACCAAACGTTATTTGTTTAAGCCATTCCTTTAGTCTGTCACATTTAAATGAAGTGTCTGAGGGTGAGATGTGAGGCAAGGACTTTTTTGGCTTTCAAATTTTTATCAAGTGAAGATAAAGCAACTAATGACTATTCCATGGAAGGATGAGTATACTAAAGCAGTCAGAAATTCTCCAGTAACCCTATTACTTGAAAAAAATTACTACAGGCCAGGCATGGTGGCTCATACCTACAATCCCAGCAGTCTGGGAGATTGAGGCGGGGTGGATTGCCTGAGCTCACAGGTTTGAGACAAGCCTGAGCAAGAGTGAGATTTATCTCTAAAAAATAGCCAGGCATTGTGACACACACCTCTAGTCCCGGTTACTAGGGAGGCTGAGGCAAGAGGAAATTAGTCCTAAGAGTCTGAAGTTACTGTGAACTATGTATGACGCCACAGCACTTTACCAAGAGTGACAAAGTAAAATTTCTATCTCAAAAAAAAAAAAAAAAAAAAAAAAAGATACTACACTGAATTGCTAGGCCCTTTTAAACTAATCTTTCATTTATTTGAGACAGAGTCTCACTTTGTTGCCCTTGGTACAGTGCTGTGATGTCATAACTCACAGCAACCTCAGACTCTTGCACTTTGTTGCCCTTGGTACAGTGCTGTGATGTCATAACTCATAGCAACCTCAGACTCTTGGGCTCAAGTGATTCTCTTGCCTCAGACTCCCAAGTAGCTGGAGCTACAGGTGCCCGCCACGAAGCCCAGCTACTTTGAGAGGCAAGGTTTTGCTTGCGCTCAAGCTGGTCTCAAACCTGTGAGCTCAGACAATCCACCTGCCTAGGCCTCCCAGAGTGCTAGGGTTATAGGTGGCAGCTGGCTAATCTAATCTTTTAGATTAGACTTTCAATCTGTTTCTTCTCTAGTCTTGTTTGCTTGAAAAAGTAAACAGAGAAAGTTTTTTTTTTTTTTTGATAGGGTCTTTCTTCCTGCCCAGGCTCAAATGCACTGGCTGGATCCTGGCTCATAGTAGCTTCCAAATCCTGGGCTCTAACAACCCTATCTCAGCCTCCCTGGTAGCTGGCACTATAGGCAAGTGGCCCCACATCTGGTTAAATTTTTTTTTTAGTAGAGGTGGGCCCTCAGTTTGTGGCTGATATCCAAGCTCCTGGGCTCATGCCATTCTCCAGCCTCAGCCTCTCAAAATGCTCGGATTATAAGGCAAGTCTGTCCCCACATCACCCCCAGATTTTATCCTTGTACTTAAGAAAAAGTAAAAATAAAAAATAAAGGTTAAAAAGGTTATACTTTAGTACCTTACATACGTTAATTTATCCTCACAACTGCCACTCACAAATTAGATAACACTGTCTCCATCTTAGAAAAGAGGAAATAATTCGCACAGCTATCCAAATGCTGTCTGAATTCAAATCTTGTTATTCCAGAGGCCAGGAATTTAACTATTTCAGTATGCATTACTCTTACATATAACTATGATAATCTTTCATGGGGTCTCTGGGGCTAGCACCCCCCTCCTCAAAGACTCCATTAATGACTCCTCGTTGCCAGCCCACTGATTTTAGGTCAGCATTTACTAGTTCAGATACCTCCTACTAAAGAACCTAATTAGCAAATCCTTGCTTGTCACTGAAAAATGTTCCTACAAAAGTGCCAACGGACCTTAGTTAATCTAAGGTATTTTTCCATTCTTGTATGTCCTTCCAGTGTGAGAGATTTTCCAGTTCTTGTTTAACTGGGTTCCTTTACAGCAGTTGTGAGGTGGTGGTAGCCTCTACAGTGGTTTAAGAATGTTAAGTGTCCACAAAATGGATGGCACTAAATCATGAACGCTACCAAAAGAGACTATTACATCCTTCAATATTTAACTTTGGCCATAATTTTAAGAGTCACTTTAGCTGAAGCAGCTAAAGTGCAAAGTAAACGTGGCTTTTAGAAATTTAAAGAAAGAAGGGCAACTTTTTAACCTCGGCATCTTTTAATTCAGTAAGCTCTAAACAGCCAAAAAGCCCAAGCTTAAATTCTGGAGCTTATCTTTTTGTTGACTAAGATCTTCAGTGAGAACAAAACCCATATCCGTTTATTAACATGTACTTACAAATTACTTAAGGCTTCAAACATTCACAATTTTTGCTATTCATTTCTAGGTAGGACTGTTCTTAACCATTATTTTTCCTAGGTAATAAATAACATTGATCACAATCGCTTTATCAAACGCCTATTAGAAGTACTAGTCTTCCCATCTGTGAAATGGAGGAAATACTAAGTTTCCCAGTGGTCGGTCATTGAGAAATGACACCGCTTTCTATATTACAACGTACGGTCTTTCAGACTTTAACCTGGCACATCATGAGCATTACATACATGTGTCACACAATGCCTGAAAAATGAGAACTGTGGCATTTTGGCTAAAACGGTCATTTTTTTCTACAATGGAATCTTCAAGATGTACTACTTGACACTGGATTTCCCAACGTGCCTTAAGTCTCAGCAGCACGTGTCTGCCCGGTTTCTTTCCTCCAGTTGCTTTTTGTCAAAGCACGGCCGCGAGCGCAGCCAACATTCCTAAAACGCCCATTGGCCCACACCCGGAGCCAGGCTCCCGGTCGGGCCCCAGGAGCTCATTGGTCGCCGCCTCCCAATGAAGCGGGCCTTGCAGGTTCCGCGGCCTCACCGCCACCCTCGCCGCACTCTTGCGGAGGGAGCCAGTGGACCCGTGAAGGGGCCTAAGAAGGCACTGGGTCGCGCTTGGTGTGACTGCCCTCGGGAACAAGGCCCAAGCTGCCCGGTATCGCCTGAGCTTTTTATTTGAGCTTGTATTCCACAGCGAGACCCCTAAAACCTCTCTTCTACACGATCCGCCCGGCTCTCTCGCGCGACTGCCCGCGGCCGTAGTGGGGCCCCGGATTCCTTTGCTCAAGCTTAAGGCATTAAAGGCATTATGTCCTGGGTCAGACCGGTCTCTACCCTGCAAATGCGTGCAAACCTTGCCCCACCCCGCACCTCTCCTCCGCCCCGCTCCCCCGGATCCCGCCGACTCTGTAACAGGTTACACAACCCAAGGTCAAGAGACTCCCCAGCAACCCTCGGCGGGCTCTGCGGCCGCCCCAGAGATCGTGCCGCCCACCTTGCCGCTTTGGTGCAGAACGCAGTAGGGCAGCGTCGGCGCCCCGCCACTGCGACACCACTGCTCCCGCCCAATCCCCGCGGCCCCAGCGCCACATGCTGCCCGCGGCGAGCGCGGGTGGGAGGCCTGCTCTCCCGCCCGCCCCTCACGCAAGGCCTGCCGGCGCCCAAGGCATGACCGAGTCCTACTCTAGACCCGCTCCCTCCCTCCTTCACTCCGAGGCGGGCACGCCCGAATTAGCGCCTGACTAAGCTCGCCGAGCCCCACCTGCCGGGAGAAAACCCGCGCACCCCCCCCAGGGCCCGGAACGCCTGCTAGAGGGAAGTCCTGAGGCGCGGGCCGCCAGCCTCTCAGCCACTCCGAGAAGCGCCGCCCGCCCCGCCGGGGACGTTACCTGAGCACGCGGCCGCGCCGGCCTCCTCCCCTCCCCCAGGGTAGTGCCCGGCCGGCAACCGCGCGGGAGACGCCGGCTCCGGCCCCGCGTGGACGCGGCCTCTCCACTCCAAACCGGGCACCCTCCACGGCCACCGAAGCGAACCCTGCCCGTGGACCTGGCCCCACCTGAAGGCTGCAGGGAATCCGGCCTCCACCCGCGTTGGGTGCTTTGGCGAGGAGAACAGCCCCAAACCCAGATATGTCAGCAAGAGCCCCAGGGACCCACCTCGGGATAGTGCGAAGATCCCCAGATCCTTGGTTTGCGTCAGGTTGCTGCCGGGAGAACCAAACCTCCAGCAGCTTCTCCGTCCCTTCGAAAAAATGTGCAGCTTCCATCACCGTGAGACTAGCGAACAACCAACAACCACAGAAAATCAACTAAATTAAACCTCTTCTCCCGCCGCTGCCGCCGCCGCCGCCGCTGCGGATTGTTCCAGCTGTGTTACTAAAGTTCAGGTTCCTTTTTTTGCTATAATTTTATATTAACTTTTTTTTAAAAAAAGGACTAATAAAATTTCCCCGGCTTCTTCTTGTGAGCGAAAAGTTGAACGTGAGTCTGTTGGAAATAGAGGCAGATACAGTTCAGTCTCTTGTAGTCCGCTGCTTCCCCGTTAGAGAGAGTAGAGCGAGCGCTAGCTAATGTCGCCGGCCATACTGTGTAAGCGAGGGCGCTGCGTGAGCACCGACCTTATATAGCCGGGCTCCCTGAAAGGCCAGGAAGTGACGCAAAGCCCCGCCCTCACAGCCCATAGCGGCCGACGCCTGTCAATCACTCGCCGCTTAGTCGCGGCTGGCAGGCCGATGGCGTTCTGTGAGCGCGCGGAGCTGCCCGTTGCGCTACGGTTTGGGCTATTGCTGTCCCCCGAGCCGGAGATGGTGTTGTGTTGTACATCTGGGAACTAGAAACCTGGGGTCGAATGCAGAGTAGCCAGGGAGGGTTGAGGGAAGCCTTCGCAGCGTCGCGTGAAACAACTGGTTAGCAGGGACAAGGGTGGGTCCTTAGGGGTGTGTTGGCGCGTTCGGCGGGGGCGGGAGCCAGTGCCGGGCGGGCGTGGTGGTTTGATCCGGTGCAGTTCACCGCGACTGTCGAAGTACTTGGCTATTCTTTAAAGTATTTTTCCCGGAGGGGAATGCAGCCAGGCATTAAAGCTCGGCATTTGTCCGTGACGCACACGTTGGTGGGGTCGAATTAGAAGGCGCTTTAATTCTGCTCACGCCTTAATTCCTGTGTGAATGAATGTAATTCTCGACCCGTTTATACAATAGCCAGAAAAGCATTGTCTCCCGTTTTCTTATGGGAAAAGCAACGTGGCGCCCAGCCTTGGAAAGCTTCGACTCTACCCACCTCCCACCGTGTAGCTCGCCAAACCTCGGAGTTGGCTGAACGCTGCAGCGTCGGTGAGGTACTGGCAACTCCGTGCTCCATTAGGTCAACTAGTGGGAAGTTTTTCAGAAAAACTGTTTCCAGAAACTAGATTTGTTAAATGTAATCCGAAATTATTTGATATGCTTTCCTTTGAATTTTTTTAAACTGATGAACTAATAATCAAAGGGGGTTCCCTGCACCCCCACAATTCACAGTGCTGTTAAGAAGGGTTTACATGGACATTAATACATATAACTGGGATTCTAGAGCTTTCACTAGTGGTAATTTAAAAGAACCATACATGTAATATTTCGCTCATCAGTTTATAAAAGTATAAAATAGTTGTCAAGTTGTGGTCAGTTAAACCTAAGGTGGTGGCAACAATTGTGGTAACGAAGTTATGACTTTTATTTGGGAATATGGGAGAAAAAAATACCCCAAACTGACTTAAAAATTACTATTGCCACAAGACAGAAAGACTTTCCCCTATCGCCTTTAGAGAAAAACTTATTTCAAAGTGAAATAAAATAATGTCAGCAGGAAAACCGTACTGAAAACAAGACATGGCTTGAGTTTGCACTTTAGATACCCTGCAGGGCAGTACTTGTCTTACAAGAACTGGATTCCCAGTCTGCATGAAACCTGTTGAAAGAACTATGTTGTGAGGTCCATACAATACTACTCTTGCCATGGTTTTAAAAGCATCCAACTCAAACTGAGGATTGGGACAAAAAGATAGTAAGTGTTGCTTATTTTACTATAATGATAATTAAAAGAGAATGTGGTTATTATAGTTGGAATAAAGATAAAGGAAGTATTTCTGTTTTACAAGCTATTCAATTATTTGATGGTTGCTTATTGAAGAATCTGCCTACTAAACCACCTCAAACACTAATTGTGGTATAAACATAATTTGGCTTATAATTGCTTATAATTACTTGCTTCTCAATTACTATTATGTTTTTTCCCCAATGCAATTTAAGTTAATATAAAAGTGCCAAGAATCTTGGCAAAGTAAATCCTTTCTGATATAGAATAATTTAAATAGTGTCTACCTACTGGATGGGTCCTTACTTGACGTTCAAAATCCTTTGTACTGGCTTGGCACCTACAGCTCAACCAGCTAAGGCGCCAGCCACGTACACCTGAGGTGGCGGGTTCAAATCCCCAGCC